CGGCAATTCTTCGAAGAATATCTGAAGTGTCACATTGAATAGGGAGATGAAGGCGATACTGGGGAAAAGTTCCTTCTTGGGATGGGAGAGGTCTTTTTTCATCGATCGTCCAATTTTTTGGCATTAGCACATTCTTTTGGCATTAGCAGCTAAAACACTTCATAAGAATTACTGTCATATTTCAAATTAAATTAATATGCATCGTTAAAACATATCACAGAGAGAACAAGAGTTAGCATAGTATAAACAACCTCTTGGTTATTATAATCGCCAATAACCTCCATCGCTTTTCTGTAACAGAATATTGTCAAGTATCGTATAATGTGTAATATAGTGAAATGCACGTATTCATCAAATTTAAATTTCCGATTCTGAATAAGATTCAAAACAAACTAGATATAGTCATAAAATATAGACCACCCTATACATTCTCACATGTACAAATATGGAGCATTATACTTTCATTACAAAATTTCAAAATTTTCAGTTTCAAAAGCCTTGCCTCCAAACCAGTGTCAAAATCCTTGCTTAATGTTATTTTGAAACGCTGGAGCCTTGGCTGGGGGCTCGAGCCAAGGAGGTTACACTTCACGACAAGCGAACCTGAGAACACATACAAGGCTAGAATAATGAACGTCTATGTAATATATATTCTATATATAATTGAAAAAGAAAATGTAAAGCGAACTGGTAATTAGACGAAAGACCTATCTGGTCTCAAAAACTTTTGCGCATAATGCTGCAAAAAGATTTGAAAGAATAGTAGTAGGTAGGAACATTGCTGCAACCTTGCTAAAAAGTTACCAGGAGCTGTAGCTCCACGAAATGTTGTAACATAGTACTACGAGGGTTGGAACTTTAATAGTGGCAAATATTTATTTACAAGGAATACAAAAGTGATTCATGTCACCATGTTTTACAGTCCTTCAATATAGTTGCCAGCATTGTGTACAACCCGTTTCCAATGATGTGGAAGTCGCAGAATACCTGTAGCAGCGCCTGTTTTGTTGATAGTTTGAATGGACCGGTCTACTGCCGCAAGAATCTCAGGAACAGTTTGGAAGCGAGTGCCATGAAGTGGTTTCCTTCATCTTAGGAATTAAGTCATAGTCACAAGGGCTTAGATCTGGGGAGTATGGTGGATGGTAAAGCACTTCCCAGCCCCATCACTTGAACAAATCAGTCACAGCTTGCGCTGCATGCGGCCGAGCATTGTCATGCAAAATGAGAGGAGAGCTCTGCAGGAAGTGTCGCCGTTTTTTTCTCAAAGCTGGACGGAGATTGTGCTCCAAAAATGAGCAGTAATACTGCGCAGCGACGGTCTGCTGTGGGGGAACGGTATGCGTTAGGATGACACCATCACAGTCGTACACGAGAATCACCATAACTTTCACATTGCTGGGGTTCTGTCGAAATTTCGAACGTCGTGGTGACCTGTGATGACACCATTCATTTGATTAGCGTTTCAGTTCTGGCTGGTACGATCGGGCCCAAGTCTCATCCAACGTAATGATACGGCATAAAAAAAGCATCTCCTTCGCGCTCATAGCGCTCCAGGTGGATTCGGGCAGCGTCGTATCGTAGCCATTTCTGCATTTCCGTCAATTGATGTGGAACCCATCGTGAAGCAATTTTTCTCATGGACAGGCGTTCGTTCAGAATGTGCAGCACAGTCGTATGCGCTAATTCTGTTTGTCCGGCCAGCTGACGAATCGTTTGGCGGCGATCACTGTCCATTAAAGCGGCAACAGCTTGCATGTCTGCATCGCTGACATTAGGACGACCTGGCCGCAGCATGTCTGCCACGTTTTGGCGTTCTTTATTGAATGCTTTCACCCATCTTGCTACGATTTTGTAAGGCAATGCAGATTCTCCTCAAGCCTCTTGAAGCCCTTGATGACACTGTCGTGCTGTACGACCTCTGGCACTTTCAATTTTTATCCAACAACATTGATCTTGTTTTGAAAACATCCTGACAACACATACTTTAGACCGCGAGCTAATACAAGGATGCGTTCTTCGCGTCACTCCGCATGCGCGTGACGTAGGCAGGACGAGTCTTTTTGCTGAGAGGTAAGGTAGGTATGTAATTTACGTGTGGTTACGCGTGTGGTATTTCAGCTGTGTTGCCACTATTAAAGTTCCAACCCTCGTATATAAACAATAAGAAATTTGCCTGGTAAAACTGGAAAAACTGTATAAGAGCGATAAAACTGCCAAATTTTAGTGCTGGAAGACTTGCTATTGCACGAAAAAATTAATTAATCTGACCGTTGTGTAATGTGAAAAGTTAACTCACATGAAAAATGATGGACGGAAAAAATATATATATATATTAGGAAGTTACAAAAAACATGGGTTATAAATGTCAATATATCAAATGCCTATACATAAAAAATTAAAATTAAGAGTGATTATTATTATTCTATATATTATTATTCTATATATAATATATATAGAATATATATATCACACAGTATATGTATATTCTTTATATTACGTAGTATATGTATATTCTTTATATTACGTAGTATATGTATATTCTTTGGCTAGAACGACCTTTTCACGGCTTTTCACCCTGTTCTTCAAGTTATCCATACGCACCAAATCGGCCGCGGAAATTCAATTCCTCCAATTCGCTACACATATGCTGACTTCTTGCCAAATCCAGCGCATTTTTAAGTTGCAATCTTTTTATGCGATGAAGCTGCAGTTGAAATTGTTAGTTCATTGTGGTGTAAAATGTAGGGCATGTTATTATCTTAATTTATATGAATTTTTGACTATAATCTAAATATGATGCATACGAATTTGATGACATTTAAAACCCGAATAATTACGTAAAACTTGAAACGGAAGAGCTAACAATGTATTCCATGTAGTTTGGGTTAAATGTTTTCCCCCAAGACCGTTCGCTTAGTTAAAAGTAAAATATATAAATTTAGAAAATCTGCCACGAGTTATTTTCTCTTAATTTTTAGGAGTTCATGCAGTTTGTTGCTTCCGAAACAGTGAACCAGAGAAAAATGCCGATTTTTATTTTCTAAAGATGTTAATTTGATTTTAATTTTCCATTATTTAAAAAACTCTAATTATATTTTGTAACAGACATCAATAAAAATTATACCCTGTAATTTCTCCTAAGACACATAGTCTTCCAGTCATGCCCAGACAATCACTGTCCTACAGTACGTCTTATCCTATCTTTTTTATTACTGTTTAAAATCAAAAATAAAATAAATAAAAATACTGGAAAATGAGATCTTCGGATTACAGTCTAACAACTGAAGAGTTTACCATTCGAAATTTCAAGATATTAGAAAAATATTAAAAACTTTAAAATTGTAAAGCAAACATAAAAATTAAGACGTAAATGATCTTATACCAATTAGTTTGTACCAATCAGTTAAAAATATAATATTAGAAATATCTTTTGTTAATTATAACAAAGCGGAAATGTTTGTATGAACTAAAAAATTATAAAAATATTAAACTCTAATGTAATGACTGTAAGCTCTGAATTGGAGTATCTCAGTGTATTATATAAAAAAAGTCCTTTACCCTTATAGTCTCCACGAAGACATCTCATTCTTTAGACAGAAATCCTTGTTCCTTCTACCATAGTTAACTTAATTGATCAGTACTTCCGTACTGGTTAGTTTAGGTGATTTGAATATGGCAAAGCACACAAGAGCTATCTGACTAAGAGGTGAGATATATTCGTGGAGGACTTTCTAAAGGAAACGGGCTCGTATTCACGTTATACATGGAAAAAACCACAAATCCAGCTCGTTTGCTTGGGTTCAAACAATGTCAAACTATCAGTATTCAGCGATCTTAAACATTCTTCTACTGGTGGGATACTTTCATATTATATTTTCTAATGGATGTTAGCTTGTATTTAAAATGTTATTTATAACTATTTATAGTTCTGCCTTTTTTTAAAATTTCTGGCCTTGAAAACGGCCCTTGTATTTTTAGTTTGTGGCCCTGAAAATGGCCAGGACTTAAATGATTTTCATGAGTTAAAAATTGAAATTTTTACTATTATGTTAGTGTACGCTACCTTGATTTGCCACCTTAAAGCTCTGCTTGCCTGATCTCAGACTCTTATTTTCGCCTTTGGGTGAGTGGCGTAAGCATAATGTGGTATACCATAATAAGCTGTTTCTCGTCTTTTCGGCGTTAAGGCTGTTCTCCGAACAATATCCTATGGTTTTACACATTTTTTTTTTTCCCTTACGTTCTCCTTGCTCAGCAGTATTCATATTTCACAGGGTAATTTTTTACAATATTACTTCTCGAAACGGTAGAACTATATTTTTCGGCGGACGCATACACTTTCTAGTATATCCAGTGTTCTCAACTTAGGTTGACCTGTACTAGAGATACAGGCTGACTCGTCAGCCATTTTGAATCTAAGCTTTAGGGTTGCATTTAGGTGTGGAGCGCCAACTTTGGCTCTTTAGCGCTGTTCGCTAAATTTCATTATTTAACATTCTAGAGAATCCGAATTTCAGCTTTTTCTGCACTCCTATAAAGATGCGTGGCTTTTCCTCCTTCTTTTGTCTGCAGTTCAGATTCTTTCTCGTATTTTTTTTTTTTTTTTAATTGTCAAATTTCTCGTATGATTCAAGTTATTTTAAAAGTTTCTAAAACATTAGTTAAAAATACTTTCTTTTTGAATTCCTTTATTGAATTTTCAATTTTTCCTTTTAAATACACGCATAATGTTATTCATCTGAAAATGTATTTTTTGACAAGAGATTTCGCTAACCTCCATTAATTTAGGATAACGTTTAAAGTTTAATCTAATTCTTGTTTTTTATTTTTAATATGTTATTTCAATTTTGCTCACATGGAATCAAACGTCTATTATAGTAGCCTTCATAGTAGCCTTAACTTATTCTAACTTCCTAGGCTCGAGCACAGGCCTCAGATCGTCCAATCAGATCGCAATGCAATTTTCGATATATGAAATGGCAACATGTTTTTCCTTGTTTAATTTAGTCATTACATTGCAGTCTAGCAATTTCGATATTTGACTTGAAAGCGTCAAATTTGTGTTCAAAGGGGTTGTAATATAAGTATACAAATATGTCTGTTGCATATGTTCCACCTTCAAAAGTGAGACCATCTCCATCGCCTGCACAAATCCAAAAGGTGTATATTCTTTTTTTTAAGCAAAGACTTAAGCAAAGATTTTCAAAATGTGAAAGTTTAAAATGTTTTATCATGTTTCAAAATAATTTTCTTGTTACTTGAAAATTTGTTTTAATTAGACATTCCATACACATTTAAAAAGAACATATTCTCGAGAATCTAACCCATCAGAAAGTCTATGATTGTCATTGAGAATTATTTTTATAAAATAGAACTTTTAAAAATTATGACTATTTTGTAAATGTAGTAAAGGACATCTTAAAATCGTGTTCTTTGTTTAGAATGTAATAAAACTGTCATTTTATCAATGAAATTAATTAAATGACAGCAGTAATATACTACTTTTCATCACTTTATTTTAAGCATGACTCATATGGTGATTTCTGGCATCTATTATACTCTTTAAACTACACTTATGATTTTGGTTAATATCTAATTAAATGTTTGTAATTTATTCTTGTGATTTGGGGGGTTTATACTTAAATATACTGAATTTTAGTTTAATTGTGAAATTTTTGAACTGTTTTTACAGTATTGCTGAGTCTCTCTCTTTTTCAGTTTCCAGATTTTCTGGTTTTTAGTTAATCTGAATTTAGATCATCAGTTCAACTGTAGCTTTATAAAACCTACCGTCAAAGAAAAAAAGTTCTGAATGGAAAATTGGCACTGTTATCTCTTATCAAAACATCAGCGGTCTGAGGAATATTCAATGTAATTTTTCTGATTAATTTTTGTTTGATCCCATTTTGAAGATTTATAAAGCACTTTATGATGATTTAATTAACAATTAATAGGTAAATATTAGTATTTAATTTTGCTTTTGCACATATATTTAGCACTGGAATGGAGAATTAATAATTTTTTCACCAGATGTTACAAAAATTTCACTTCGGGCAGAATGCTGTTATTATTATTCTTATGCTAGCCAGAGAGGTTTTCTTTAGCTCTACAGTTTTCTCAGTACTGTCTGATTTTTCGTGCACCCACAGAAAAGTTGTAAACTTGCTGACTTAGAGAAAAATTTTTGTTTAATTCTTTTTATATCTATTTCAACGAGGCACTGAGTATACCACCTATTTTTTTCATTCAAGACTACACGCTTTTCGTTTCTTATGTTGTTGTCATCCTTATATATATATCTGTAATAATCTGTTTTTGCCTAAAGAAAATAATTCAAAGAATTGCACAAACATCCAACCTAAAAGCAAAAAAGAGTTGTATGATTCTTATACATGAGCCAAATTATGCTGTATTCATACAGGAAGCTAGGTTCAAGATTTCAACATCTTTTTCTCTTTCAAGGAATATTTAGCAATATAGTTCATTGACGAAATTGTCATTGTGCTAAAATTTCGGTGAGAGGGATCATGCTAATTTTTATTCACACTGGAAAAAATGTTTAGAGAAACAGAAAGCTGTCTGCAATGAGGGAAAGTTATGTGCATGTTTGGGATGTTGCATAAATACTTTTTGGCAATATTGTGGGTTGCTGCATCAATATTTTGGATAAAGTGCAGAATCACCCACTTATATGGCATGTATCGATGTGTACATGGACAAAATCAAGGGAGTGCACAATGCCAAATTTGTGCAATTCTCTTATTTTTTAAGTGAAAATATGTTGATGTGTACATGGATACCGAGTTTGTGCAATTCTTTGACTTGTTATTTTCAAGTTGATGCTACTAATATGACTCGTATCGATGTGTACATGGACAAAGTCAAGGGAGTGTGCAATGCCAATTTTGTGCAAATCTCTGATATTTTTAAGTTGAAAATGGGTCTATGTGTACATGTATACTGAGTTTGGCAATTCTTTGACTTGTTATTTTCAAGTTAGCGATTTTGAGAAACGCACGTAGCAGGGGGTGATTCTGCACTTTCCGCAATACTTTTAGGTGGTGTATTGCTATATCACTACTTTTCAGTGGGAATTCAGATAATCAGAAAGAATCAATTTCCATTATTTGTAATTGATGTATATATTATTTGGTAAATAGTTTGAATGCGTCATATTATTCCAATCTACGATCGTATTTTTGCAAATGTTTAGCTATATATCGCATTGTTTATGAAACTTACATTATTTTGGCCATCAGAATTTGATATTCCATTTATTGAAAGTGATACTAATTTCTAATATATTTTATGTGATGCATTAATGAGAATGTACTATGTGTGTGTATAAGTAAAGATATGTGGCAGTTTCAAATGGCTGGACACTTGTAACTAAACCCTCTGACCACTCAATTTTGTTTATCAAAACTGCTTCAAAATTTGCATATTTTTTTAGTACATATTTCAAATCTACATATATTTGAGAGTTAAAATATGGAGTACAGTTTTGTAACCAAGATTTTGTTTTAAATATAGATTTGTTGCATAAGAACCAGCTTTCCTGACAGTCTGTTCAGAATTACTCTTATATATGCCCTCGGTTGGCGACAAATTTCTTGCCAAATATTTTTGGCAAGAAACTCCACGGTGTCATATTGCTATCTAAATTTTGTGTCTACATTTCAAATTTTAAGCCTAAAAATGTTTCCAAAAACGTGGTTTTTACAAATGCAAAATCCACATTTTGCCAAAACAAAAACAAAAAATTTAGATAGCAAAAATGTAAAGTTTCTAATCAAAAATATCTGTGTGCACAGTAATATGTTTTAACTTAAAAAAAAAAATTACGAATTGCACAATCTAGGCAGCGAAGGAATCTACGAACTATGCACACCTTGCTTTAATAAATTAACAACAATAAATTTCAAAGAATACCATGTATTTATAATAAGAAATAAACTTTACAAATTGCACAATCTAGGCATTGCTTACAAATCAATAAAATAAACTAAAATAACAAAAATGAATTACAGACAATTCAAAAAACAACAATAACAACAAAATTTCATAGTAAAAAAAAAAAAAAAAAACCATTAACATAACATTCTACAAAATAAAAACAATAAAATAAAATGCACTTGCCATAATGAATGCTTCTTCAGATAGCAGAATGTAGCTTTACCATGGCGTCATGTATTCTCTATGGTATTTATATGACAGCCAGACTCTATCCACAAATTTGATACTATGATTCACAAATGATCAAAACCTTCTTTTGCTTTGAACACAATCTAAAATACGCAACTGAAATCTTGCCATAGGTAATTTCAAAACATGCACGACACGAACCAATGACCAAATAAAACTGCTGTAACAAAAGAGGAAGTTTCAACATCAAAAGGGTTGCCATACAAACAACATCATCCCCAAAATCGGCGCACAACACGCAGACGCACCAAAAACCAGCGCAGAATGCATATCGCCACATTTGGTGATCTTAAGGTGTATATAAGAGTAGAGCCATTAGTTCTAAAAGTAATCATATAAAGACAAAAATTCTGAAAATAAATCTAATTATTTTCAGATTAAATTACAATTCACTTTAGATTACAAAAGTAAAGTAGGCGTACTAATGAAAATGTTCAATATTTACATAAATTACACAGAAAATAAATTTCACGTTGGTAAATTTGAAAACAATGTTCCAGGCAAAGTCATACTTTATATTCTTTGTGCCAAATTTGCGTTTCTTTGTAAGTTTTTGCGTCAGTTGCAGTTTTTGGAGCAACAAACAGCACATTGTCTGGGAAGCCAGACAATGTTAGGGGATTAGGAATTATGTGGCATGTAAAATGATGAGCTATCAATCTCAAAGATTTGAGAGCAGAATTAGGTCCTTCAGGTTTATGACATGTATCCATGCAAATACAGAAATTCAGGCAATGATAATGCCATCCATTGACCAAAACCTAATTGAAAGTCTAAATATTGTAGAAAATGCATTATTGAGAATTAAATGCAGATGGGAGATGCACTTTTAAATAGATTGGTATACTGTGTACCGATGAAAATCGCAGGCTAAGTCAATTTTGTTACTTTCATATTGCTCATGCAAATCGTGGTATAAACAAGGAGTGGTCAAACTTTATTACTATGATAGGAGCCGCATGGTAAATTAACGTGAAACCTTGAGAGCGGCAACTGGATTTTCCAAGAGTCACAAATTCATGTATCCTAATGATAAATACAGGCATAAATAAGGAGAGGGATATCTAGCAGTTCAGAAATGCTACATAATCCTTGAAGAATGTAGAGATCTAATGTTAAATTTAATGATGCCGAGCCAGATTTAATGATAGCGCCATCAGATCTTCCATTCAGTTTTAATAAAGCATTCCTTATAGGATGTTCTATATTAATTTATTAAAGGTGAGAGAAGTTGCATATATTTGTGTTATTTAAAGCTAAAGGTCTGAGACAAAACTTTTCTAGAAAACGACAGTTTAAAGTGATAATTCTTTGAAATGTAGTCTGTACGCATATGGGGTCACTTAAAGAAAGGAAAGATGATGTTCAAAATGAAATGTTTATGGGGCTAAAATCCAGCAGAACTTTACAATCCATTGTAAGAAATTTTTAATGATCAGGGAATGGATAATAGTATAACATTCCTTTTGTCTGTTAAGCTTTCGTGATACAGGCATACAAGATGATCAAATATTAAGAAGATAAAAAATATCAACTGATTAAAGAATTATAGTGCATGCACCAGAACCGGGAAAACCGGTTCTGCTGCACTGAACTACAGAATAAAGAGGTGAAAAATGTTCGAAGTATAGGGTGGCAGAAAGCATAACACCGGCTCTAACTGAATATAATATTTGTGGAGAGCTAAAAAGATAATGTTGTCAAGTAACATATGAGGAAAAATCATGAGAGAAAGCAATTTCACTATGATCAGTATCTTGACAGATGGTGTTAGGAAAAAGAAATTTGTTTTTTGGCCTCTCATTGCATGATGCAACATTATTGAAACAAAAGTTTGATGATAAATGTGAAAGCTTTATATCTCGAATAATGGCAGTTGACAAAATATAAATTAAAAATTTTGACCAGAATTAAAATCGGTGTCAGTCCAGTGAAGTCCATTCTGTCTGTGACCC